AAAAAAAAAAAAAGAAAAGAAAAGAAAAAAGAGAAAGAAAAAAAGAGAAGAAAAGTCTCATATGTTAGGCAACCTCTGGGAAGGGGGTCAGGGTGCCAGAGGTTGGCAGAGATGACTTTACTACATTAACACTCCCATGTTACCTAGATTTCTAATCATGTGTACATATTTCCCCATTCAAAAAGGTGATAGGTCACAATTAAGTTTATGTACTGCAAGGGCTGTAGGAGGCCCAGCCTCCCCCTTCCTAAGCACCAGAAGCCTTGGCCTCTGCACAGACATTCAGGAGGGAATGCTCTTCCCTCTCCTGGGTTGCCTGGCAAACTCCTACTCAGCCCTCAAGGCCCCACTCAGGCCACCTGAGTCTCTCCCCACTGAGAACCCTCTGCAGGGCACCATGTCTATCTGCACCCTCAGTCCCAGCACCTGAATGCCGCATGCTTTACCTTTTTGTCCCACTGCTGATGTAGGTAGCGCAGGAGAATGTTTGTCTTTTCTGTCACGATGACTAAAGGAGGAAAAACAGAAAGTCGCAGAAGAGGTGGCAAAGGAGCTGGCTGCAGTGGCCCAATCTCATGGATGGGCTATGCTCCCCACTCCCTGGCCTCCTGACCTGTCTCTGCTCTGAGTGGTCTTTCAAAGGCTAGAAGTCAGCAACCCCAACTGGAGAGATTTCCAAAAGCCCAATGATTTCACTTCTCACCAGACAGATGGCCACTAAGAGGCCTGAGCCAGCTGTTCTTCCAGGTCACTGCTTCCTATGTGCAGGATCCCATCCTTGAGCAGTGATGAACCCCAACACGCAGGTATGTATTCCCAGGTAGACCAGCAGCACAAATCTACATAGTGGCACCCTATGATCACGACCCCCATCCCAGCAGTCTCCAAGTGTTCAAATGGATGGATTCCAGTTTTTTTCTGTTTTTTTTTTTTTTTTTTCCAGGAGAGTCTCACTGTATTGTTCAGGGTATATGCCTGGGCTCAAGCAATCCTCCCATCTGAGTAGCTAAGACTACAGGAGTGCAACCACCAACCCCCAGCTTGGACTCTTTCATACCATTTAAAACACCACGATCATGTCCTCCTGCTCTGTTGGCCCCTCTGCCCGGATCCCCTTTCCCTCACTGTCTGGCCCAGGCCTGGATGGATATCCACCCCAGGCTCCTGCTCCATCTGTTCTGCTTCCTCCCTGCCCAACACTTGTGTTAGGGTCTAAGTTTTTGTCTGATTTGACCTGAGTGGGAAGGACAGGGCCAACTCGGGCCCCGTCTGGGTTGAATGTGAGTACCAGCATGTGTGGCAACCAGGAGCCCAGAGAAAGCCAGGTTTCCTGTAGCTCCCAAAGGAACAGATGGCATCCTTGTGTGCACTCCCAGACCAAATCCTCCACAGGTCACCTTCGGTACCTCTCCTGAAGCCCTCCTCCACCCAACCCTGCATTCAGTAGCTATAAATGAACCCAAGCCAAATCTCTGGCCCAGGCTGTAAGCTGGAGGTCACCTCTGCATCCTGCATTGTGGTCCCTGAACCACACCCCTCAGCAGCCAGATGGGACAGATTAACTGAGGCCACTTACTCTGTTCAGACGGGTACTCTCGAGTGGGCAGGTAGACTGAGGGACGTCGGTTCTATGGGAGAGTTGGAAAGGGGTAGGTTAGAAGGTGGGCCTAGGGTCCCCCTATCCCTCAGCTTAGCACCCAGCCTTTAATGCATACCAGAAGACACACAAGGATGTGAGGTGGGGCTGGACTTGAAGGCTAGCCTTGGTTCCAGCCAAGACCCTAACTGGGGGATGCCCACCACCTCCAGCCCCCAATGGCTCCCCATCCCTCCCAGTTCCAGAACACACACTCACTGAGGCTTTGCACACGGAATCGGCATGAAATCGACTAAAATTGCTTTTGTTGTAGACCGGCAATCCTTTCAAAAAATCTGCCTAGAAGATACAGAAGATGGTAAGTGAGAAAGCGAGCAACTTGCTGGGTCCTCCCTTGAGTACTTATGGGGATGGGCTCCTGGGGCACTTCTAGTTTCTTTCTGCCTACTTTTCTTATGGATCAAGTGTTCCAGAACACACACAGAGTTAGCTGCTGCATGCACTCCCACAACCAGAAAAAAGTAACCAACCTGGGATAAGTGCACATTCTCTGGAAGGGTCCATACAACAGCCCCATAAGTAGGCATGAGGTAGGGAATCTGAGGCTTGGAGAGAATAAACCACTTTGTTAAAAGTCAAACTGCAGGCTGGGCACAGTGGCTCACACCTATAATCCTAGCACTCTGGGAGGCTGAGGCACGTGGATTGCATGAGCTCAGGACTTCAAGACCAGCCTGAGCAAGAGTGAGACCCCATCTCTGCTAAACTTAGAAAAAAAATAGCTGGGTGTAGTGGTGGACACCTGTAGTCCCAGCTACTTAGGAGGATGAGGCAAGAGGATGGCTTTAGTCCAAAAGACTGAGGTTGCTGTGAGCTATGATGATGACACAGCACTGTACCCAGGGTGAAAAAAGTGAGACTGTTTCAAAAAAAGAAAAAGTCACACTGCAACAAGTAAGCAACAGAGCAGAGAGCTGGACATGGCCCTTCTAAGAGCCCACAATAAAGGGCGGCTACAGTCCCTCTGGGCACAGCTGTGCTTGGTAACATAAACTCCTAGGATAGGGCCTCCTGGCCTCCTTTTTCACAGTCTACCTTTGACAGAGACCTAGGATGGAGAAAGACTCATCTATCCTAAGAAACTCTATTGGCCAGCTTGACAATAAATGTGAGTGGAGAGGGAGGAGAGGCATCGTCTGTGGGAGCTTTGGCTATGCAGAAACAACAGCTGAGGGTTCAACAAAATTTTTTTTTTTTTTTTTTTTTTTTTTAAAAAAAAAAACTACAGGGCTTTATTATTCCCATCACAAAGAGCAGGCCTTCACAGGACGGGGGAGCAAGATGTCAGTGGGGAAGAGGGCCTATTTGCCAGCAATAAGTGGGTTCCGCAGGACCACAGTGACCAAGTCCCCATGCAGGAACGTCTTGGAGATGTAGCGGTCTTTGTTGACTGGCTTGGACTTCTTCTTACCCTTGCCACTTTTGGGGACCTCGGTCCACATCTCCTTCACATTCTCCAGCACCATGTTGCAGTGCCTATCAAAGGCCTTCATCCGGCCCAGGAGTTTCGTGTTATTGCGGCAATTAATAAGCACTTGGGTATTGTTCTTGACTGTATGAGCACAGAGAGTGGACCAGTGTTAAATTCTTCTTCCTCCCACTTCTGTAGCTCCTCTGGGGTCATCTCACTCTTGGGCTTGTTGAGGAGGCTCATGGTGGTAGCTGTGCTCTTAAGTCACTTCCTTCTCCTCAACAAACTTCTGACGTCAGGAAAAACCCAAAAATCCAAGTTTGGGGCGGTGCCTGTGGCTCAGTGAGTAGGGCGCCAGCCCCATATACCGAGGGTGGTGGGTTCAAACCCAGCCCTGGCCAAACTGCAACAAAAAGAAATAGCCAGGCATTGTGGCGGGTGCCTGTAGTCCCAGCTACTCGGGAGGCTGAGGCAAGAGTATCACCTAAGCCCAGGAGTTGGAGGTTGCTGTGAGCTGTGATGCCACAGCACTCTACCAAGGGGGCAATAAAGTAAAACTCTGTCTCTAAAAAAAAAAAAAAAATCCAAGTTTGAACATGTTCTTTCAGGTTTTTAAAGCTAGCTCTGCTTTTTAGATAATGTTGTGTGAAGCAATCATGTCTGTGACCAATCAGCTTGGGAGCTGCTCCTAGGGTCCTCACACCCCAAAGTCAGTCCCAAGGCTTGAGCCTGACCTGTCCATGGCATGGAGCCTAGGCCCCTCATGGGGAGAGCGACAGAGCCTGAGAAGAAGCAGGTGTCCCTTTTTGGCCAGTGGCTTCTTGGAGTAGGGGGCTCAGCTGTCCATGTTTTGGGGCCCAAGTGGCACCAGATAGCCAGCAACAACAGAATCTGTTCACTCTCCCAAAGCCCTTTTGTTTTTTTGGTTTTTTTATTTTTTGAGACAGAGTCTTATTTTTGTTGCCCTAGATAGAGTGCACTGACATTATAGCTCACATTGACCTCAAACTCCTGGCTTGGCTCAGTGATCTTCCCAGCTCAGCTTCCTGAGTAGTTAGGCATACAGCTACCCATCAACACATCTGGCTAATTTTTCTATTTTTAGTAGAGATGAGGTCTCACTCTGCTCAGCCTGGTCTTGAACTTTTGAGCTCAAGTGATCTTCCTGAATCCACTTCCCAGAGTGCTAGGAATACAGTCATGGCCACCAAGCCCTTTTTGACCTGCCACTGTCAGTCAGGCCTGGGGTGAGACAGCAGAAATGGGTACATCTGGTGTAGGGTTTCCCCAAGTGCCATCCTGGACCAGGGGCTTCCTGAGTTCCATCTCTCTATGTATGATCTCATAACCCAACCAGGCAGGAGGAGGTGTCTCCCTGTCAAAGACGAGGAGACTGAGGCAGAGAGGTCACTCAGTCCCAGCAAGAAAACAAGGGGGTCAATTTGAACCCAGGTGTGGGTTCTTACCCAACCTCTAATGCCAAGATCCTCACATTCTCAAACATGCCTAAAATCCAAGGGCTTGGAGCCCCTATAGGTTATAGGACAGGAAGGTTGACCCATCCTCCTCCCTGAAATCCAAGAGAGCCACCCTAGGGGAGATTGCTCTTCAGACAATTTCCCACCACCCTTTGGGACAGGCAGGAGCAACAGTGTCCTCACTTCCACAAGGTCCAGTCCCTCTCCTGGGCCAGCCTGTGAAGCTAGAATGTAGTGGGGAGGCCTCCCCTTCCCATCTAGGAGGTGGCTCTCACGTTTTGCTGCCCTGCTACCCTGGGGCCAGCTCATAAGTCTCTCAAACCTCCATGCCTCTCTATCCTAGGACCCCAGCCCCAACTCAACCACAGACTATGGGGCTCAATCACTCAGCAAGGTTTTCTTAGGTCTCTACTATGTGGTAGGCTCCAGCCAGGTACCAGGGCACTGGGTGACCCTCAACAGATCTGCCCCCACCCTCAGGGAGCCACAGGTGTGGATCAAGGAGCCACATAGCAAATGGGAAGTAGCTATGGGAATGGGGTAATTCTAGGGCACCATGTAAAGTCAAGGACAGTGACAGCCAGAGATCTAGCCTGCCCAGAGGCAGTGATGCAGGTGCTAAGACCTAAAGGGTGAAGAGAGGTCCCTGTCCCCTCCACTTCTAGTGTGGCTCCCATTGGTCTCCTGTCACACCCTCTGCCACCCTCCAGGAATGCCCCTTGTTTCTCCGTGTGGGAAATACCTTCTAGACCCCCCTCCCCCATCTCTTCACTCCCCCATACCTCAGGAAACTCTCCCAGAGCCTTGCTCATACCCAGATAAGGTCAACTGTTTACATGTCCACCTCCCTCGCTGGACTGGCACCTTCCTGAGGGCAGGACTCAACCCTGGGCCTCTGGCAGGGCTCACATGGGGCTGGGCAGCTAAGTGGTGAATTGTACAGAAACCACAGACCTACTGCACTCAAAACTGTACATACCTCCCTGTGTGACCTGGGGTGAGTGACCTCCCAGCCTCTTGGCCTCCCCTGTGAAATGGCACATTCCAAGAGGGCCACCTCCCAGAGTTGTTCTGAGTCTCAACAAGACAATACAGGGAAAGCTTCCCACAGAGGGCGGCTGTGACCATCAATGCCTTTGTGCTGAATAAATGAATGAAGACAGTGGAGGCCACACTTTCTGTTAGGTAAGCTGGAAATCAAGGCCTCATGACACAGGAGGAAATCCTCACCTCTGCCAGGCAAATCAGCCACAGCAGGATCCTGAAGCCATCTATTGCCTCAGCAAACACGCACTGAATGCCTGTGTGCCAGTCCCACTGTTACCTGCACCAGCGACTCAACAAAGAGAGAGGAATAGAAACAGTGTGCCAAGAGAGGAGACAGAGACATGTGGGTCTTTCAACGTTAGGAAAGGCCTTATTCACAGGAAGAAGAGCACTCCGGGCAAAAGGAGCAGCAGGTGCAAAGGCCCTGGGGTGGGGGAGAATATGGCATGAGAATGAATGAAAACAAGGCCAGTGTGGCTGGAGTTCACAGATGGTGAGGTAAAGAGAGTGCAGGTGAGGTCACAGAGGTGAACAGGAGCCTTGAGGGTGGGAGTGGGAAACTGGAGTTTCATCCCAGTTATAATAGGAAGCCCTGGAGTGTTTCATAAGCTAGAAAGTAGTACAATCTGATCTATATCTTTAAAAACTCCTTCTAGAATTAGGTAAATTATGGATCATCAAATGGGTGGGATCAAGGCAAGGAGACCAAGGAAAAAGCTGGGGCAGGCACTGAAGCAGGGCACTGGGGAGGGGAGGGCAGTGGCAGTACAAGGACAAGAGTGAGAAGCCATGGATGGCTTCAGGTGTGCTCTGCAGAGCCAACAGCATCCTCCTACAACTGGGTGTGGAAGATGAAGTTGTAGCAATGAATCAAAGATAACAGGTGGCGCCTATAGCTCAGCGGGTAGGGTGCCAACTACATATACCAGGGCTGGCAGGTTTGAAACCACAGACCTACTGCACTCAAAACTGTACATACCTCCCTGTGTGACTTGGGGTCAGTGAGCAGGCCTTCCCCAGCCCAGACCTGCTAAAACAACAATGACAACTGCAACAAAGATAACACCTAAGCTTGGTGACTTGCACATTAGAACCCACCTTCTCATTTTCTTCTGACAGGTCTTCCTTTGACTATTCCCACCACATTCTAAGGACTGTGGATTGTGGGCTGGGCCTCTGGGCCAAGGGGCAATGGGCTCTTCATTTATCTTAACCAGACCTCTGATCACCCCTGACAGCTCTTAGGATCCCAAATATGGGGGGATGGGGAAATGCTTTAGCTCATCTCTTAGGCTAGGTCACTGTCCCACTTCACAGGTAGGGAGATGGATCCCCAAAGCACAAGACCCATAATCTCAGCACAGTGAGTGGCCCAGAGAGGATTTTTAACCTCCCAACAACAAATTTCAGATTATTCCCACCTCAAGATGAGGAGACAGCTAGGAGAGGATGTCACCAACCCTGAGTCACCCAGCTCAAGCATTCATTGTCCTAAGCTTTTTGCGACATCAGTTCCCAATACAGTACAGCTCCCAATACCCAGCCCTGTAAGGTTCGAACTATCACTACCCTCATTTACCAAGGACAGGCCCTGGGGATCAGAGAGATGGAACTGTTCACCCTTAGGACAGGTGGGGCCCCAGAATGAAGGGGGGTGGGGTTAGAGCCCTGGGGGACCAGGGCAGTCGGCGATGTCGCACTTCCTTTGGCGACAAAGCCCCGCATGTCGAAGTTTCAAGCCCCCTCTCCTCCCCCGACCCCCAGGCTGGCCTCCCAAACTCTCCTGAACTGAAGAGGCCCAAGTCCGGCGCACTGAAACGAAGCCATAGCTGGGAAGTCTCGGGGGACTCCATCCCCACCCAAAGCGATTTCCGGGGGGAGCCACGACCCGGAAATGAATGAGTTGTCAAGGCCTGGAATTCTAGATGAGGTCAGGGGTTGAGAGAAGGGGCTGGGGCGGGGTCAGCAGGGTCACGGCAGGGTCCGGGGGTGGAAGGTCACAGGTCAGAGTGAGGGGCGGGGCCGGGCCTGAAGGGGCCGCGCAGGGTGCTGAAGGGCCTCGGGGTATACTAGAGATGGGTGGGCCCTCGGCGCCATTTTGTCGAGCGGAGAGAGAGTACAGGCCTGGCGCCACCCTCACCATCTTCTGTTTCCTCCGTCGCCGCCTCAGCCACCGCCTCAGCCGCCGCCGCCGTCGCCGCCACCACAGCCTCCTTAGTCGCCGCCGCACAGTAACTTCCAGCCACAGCACAGCCCACACTGATGGCACCACTGCCCCTCCGTCATTGGCCCGGACCATAGCTCCGCCCCATAATGTGGGTGCTCTGCGCACTCCCATTGGGCATATCTGAGTAACTCACACGTTCATTGGTCGCCACGCCTCCGCCCTTCGTGGTCAAGTCTGGTTGAGAGAGCAAAACCCCGCCCAGTGCTTGGAAGCGCTGGGAAGTGAGATCCGGCAGTGGGCGGAGGCCACGCTTGAGAAATCTCCTGGGAGTTGTAGTTCACGACTCCGGGCGATTCCACAGAGATCTATTCTTTCTAGTGTTTATTGAGTTTTTAGACCCTATCTCTTGAAGTTGTCACAAAAGCTGCAGAAGTCGGGCTCTTCCTTGAGGTACCAACCTTGAATTTCAGCGTATCTAGACAGCTACAGCACTAGCCGCTTGAATTAACTTTGAACTGACAACTCAGACCCACTTGATTGAACATTTCTGTAGCTCCCTAATACCCTAAGGATGCAGTCCCACTTCTTCGGCCCCAATTACAGACCCTGCTGGCCTCCCTCGCCCACCCTGTGTCCTTACTCATACCCTCTCCGTCCTCCTTCCAGGCTCTCCCAGACTCTATCAGTTTCTCCAGGAAGCTTTTCCTGATTGCTTCTTCCCAAAACCAAGGGAGGCATTGGGCTTCTACAGCCCTCACAATTTCTCTCCCAGCCCTGACCCCTCCCACCCTCCGTGTCCCCACTGCTCAGGTACATTATACTCCCCTCGTTAGACTGACAGCCCCTCCAGGCTAAGGACTGGGCAACTCAGTACATTTCAAGTGCTCAATAAGTTGCTAAGTGGAAACTACTATGTATATTATTACCCCAACAATAACAAAGCAAATGAGAAAGGAACATTTCATTTTACAGGCGCCAAATGAGCCTCAGAAAGCTAAAGCCTTGCCCAAGGTCACACAGCCCATCCCCAAGGGGCAAGTGGAGAATCTGAAACCCTTCAACTTTCCACCAGCCTTCCCAGACCTGTAAAAGTTAATAGCATATATAAGACACATGGAAAATTTGACATGTATTAGACATTTAATATTTCAAAATTATTGATAATTCTTTGGGGTGCAATAAGTTTTGCGACTGTTTTAAAGGGCCCTTATCTTGGCGTTCTGAAATATTTACAAAAATAACCTAATGCCCGAGATCAGGTTCAAAATAACCAGGATGGGGCATGACAAGTTGCCCCAGACTCTAGTAGAGCTGCGTACTGGGTAGATGGGGTTTGTCGTACTACTCTGTGGTCTGTTGTGTATGTTCAAAATTCTTCCTAACTGAAAAAAGCGTAAAAAAGGAACTTGGCAAAGTGTGACTTCCACTCCCATCCAAACTTCCCGTGGGAGAACTCATGTCCACGTCTTTACTGCTCTCAATCCTGCAAAAACAGCATCAGGCAAGGTAGAGGAAAGGGAAATGCTTTAATGGGGGTCCTGCCGGCAGCGTCGGGTTCCTCAATGGCTCAGCGACTTGCGGCCCTTGAGCATGCGGCGAAGGATGACCTGGACGCCAGCTGGCGTGCTCAAGCGCCGGATCCAGCCGTGCTTGCGCTTGCGTTTGATGTTGCTGGGCTGATACTCGTTCCCGCGCGCCTTGCCCCGCGCCTGCTGCAGGGTGGGAAGGCCCCAAACGTCCGGGAGCCCTAGCCAGGAGCAGGGTTGGAGCCACCTGCAGAGGTAGAGAGACGGCGAGATAAGTCAGACGGGGTGCAGTATGGCCTGACCTCAGGGCTCGACATCTCTCAACCTCAGCTTCTCCCATTTGTGCAGTACAGTCTGGCAGCAAAAGGCGTTCCATAGATGCGCAAGGCATTAGTATGGACAGTAAACAGCTGGCCTCAGCCTCTGACACCGCCCTTTTTCCCAAATTCGGGGAAGCGTACCCTTGAAGGACTCAGGACTCACCTGCCACCCAGCAGCGCCGCCGACCTACCCGCGGGACCCAACAAGGATCCGACAAGGACAGCCATATCCAGCCGCCGGTCCAGCGATTCCGACAAGCCTGAAGTTCCGGAGCCGCGAAACAAAGGCTACTGGGAAATGTAGTTTCTCCTGCTTCGGAGAAACGTAACCATTGGGGGTCCCCAAAGTTGTAGTTCCACGCCTGCGCGTCACAGGAGTGAGCGTCCGTGCCCTCGAGGTGGTGTAGTTCTTCATATTGACCAGTAGGTGGCAGAAGAATGGAACTCATCATACGCGTGCGTACAGGACTTCATGTCGCGTCCTCTGCTGGGAGTTGCAGTTTCTACTGCGGACCTGGACTGTGTGTCCCTAGGTGGCCGCGGCGCAGCTGGTGGCAAAGGCAGGAAGCAGCTGGTTAGGCTTCCCAGACCCAGCAGGAGCTGGGCAGATGGCACACGGCTAGCTGGCACCTATTCCCCAGCCGAAGCCAAGTCTCTGCCCCTTGGCAGGAAGCCCAGGAGGCCTGAGTTCAAGCTGGCTGGGTGTCCTTAGAATGGTCCCTGCCCCTCTCTGGGCTTCAGTTTCTCTCTCTCTCTTTTTTTTTTTTTTTTTTTTGAGACAAGACTTACTTTGTCGCCCTTGGTGGAGTACTGTAGCGTCGCAGCTCACACCAACCTTCAACTCCTGGGTTTACACGATTCTTCTGCCTCAGGCGCCCGCCACAACGCCCGGCTATTTTTTGTTGCAGTTTGGCCGGGGCTGGGTTCAAACTCGCTACCCTTGGTATATGGGGCCAGCGCCCTACCCACTGAACCACAGGCGCCGCCCGGGCATCAGTTTCTGAATGTATAAAACTCAAGTATGGAAAGCTTGCCATTAGCGATCCTACCCGCTTCTGGGCCCTAGAAGAATTTTCTAATACTCAGAACAGAACATGCTCCTTCCCCTCCCCGGGAAGCTCACACACTCTCCATTGCTCCTTATTGCCACATAGGGAGATATCCAGCTCTGCCAGCAGACATGCAAAGCCCTCTACACACAGGCATCCTAAATTTCAGCCACACTCTCCTCTCTACCTGTGTTCCCCAATCCATCCTTTAAAATCCTCTTCTCCAATCCTTGTTTGTCCCTTCCTCTGGCACAATGCTAACTTGATGGGGCTCTCCCAGAGTTGCAGGGTTCTCTCTAGGGCTAGACCTGAGGCTGAGTCTGAACAAGTGCCCTAATATTACTCATCTTGGAGCGGGTCCAGAGGGGGGCGTTGGGGAGTGTTTGCTGAATGAATAAACTGTGTAGTCTTCTTGGTGTGCCTTGAGTGGGCAAGAGTGGGTGGCTGGCTGGACCTAAGGGAACTCTGGCAGCAAATTCCAGAGGATGGGAGCAGGCGAGCAGCAAGAATAAGCAACCCCTTATCCTCTGAAGCCCCTCTTACCTGCACCTTCATTTAATGAAACACTACCACAACAATAACAATGCCAATAACTATTGAGCATTTACTATATGCAAGACACCGTGATGGGTGCTTTACCTGTAGAGCAAACTTATGAGAGAATTAATTTCATAGAGAACTAAATGCAGGCTCAGGGAAGTCACTTGCCTGAGGTCACACAGCAAAGGTCAGAGGCTGGATTTGAGCTCTGGGCACTCTGACTTTGGGCTTTCCTGGAGGCCTGCCTTAGCTCAGCCAGGAACACAGAGCTAGGGCCCTGTTCAGTCATCTGTTAAAGTGGCTAATTGTGAAATTTCAATTCCTTCATTGTATACAGCTCCAAAGACTTCTGTCTAAAGGTTTAGCAAATAACAGTTTCCAGGATTTGGAATCACAAGCCGCGGGTTCAAGTCCCAGCTTTGCCCCTTGACTGCTTTTTTGCCCTTGGTCCCTTTATGCGCCTCAGTTTCCCCATCTGAAATTGAAAAGATCTGGCAATCTCTGCTTCTAGAATGGAAAGGTCAACACAGAGAGAAGCCTGGGGGCTTTGTTTGGAGAGGACCGTATTGTTCAGAGATAGGGACTGGCTGGGAAAACCCATTCGCAGCGAGAGAACCCCAGACGCCCACTGCCAGGAGCCCCGCAGACCTAAGGGTGCAACCCCATCCCCTTTGGGCCAGGCCCAAACCCTCCCTCCACCTCCTAGAGCCCCTAAAAGAGGAGGAGCTGTTGCTCCAAGATCCCGCCTCCATTCCGGAAATGCCGCCTCTGATTGGGCACCTAACTAGGCCAGATCACTCCGCAGTTGTGGTAGGTCGAGGTGCCCGCCTGTCGGAGCGCGTCCCCGCCCCCGAAGGGGAGGAACTTAAAGGGCCGGCTCTCTCTGCGGCTCTGCACTGACTGTGTGGGGCCCGCGCCCGCCGGCGAACCACGCTGCGTTCCTGACCCCGCGCCACCATGTAAACGGCGCTGGCAGGCGGACGCTGGCTTCTTCGCCCGGGACCCCTCCGCCTCAACCCAACCAACCCTGTGGCCCTAGATGAGGTGAGCTGGAAGCGGGCGCCAGGAGGGGAGATCGAGGCCTCCGGGGCCTCCACTTCGGGGTGAGGAGATTATCTGCACAGCCCGCATTCGGGCTCCTGGGAAGCCACCGAGCTCCACTGGCCCTGACTCCGCTGCAAGGATGACGGGCACCGGGGAGGCGGGGAGTAGGCTCTGGGAAGGGGGGCTGGCGCAGTGCATTTGCGCTTCCCTTCGCAATCAGGGATTAGAGCCCCATGCAAGGTGGAGGCACGGCCTACTTTCTCTCTAGTACGTCTGAGGCCACTACGGGGCCAGTCTTTGGCGTGCCTTACCCTGGCTGTGCCACGGCGGGGGGCTCGGGGTTTATCCTATATCTGCTCCCTAGACAAGGAGGGTGCTCTAAGCGGGTATCCCCCTTGAGTTATGTAACAGCCCGCGGTTGCCATGGACACGGGGGCGGGGGTGGCCCAGGAAGTGGGATGGAGGCCTGGAGGCCCCCAACCAGGGCCTTGCTTTATCCATCCTCCTTTCCATTGCTGGGAACTTGTTTTGCAGATCCCAGATCCCAGGCTATACAGGGAAGCTTCTTCCCAAACTGTCTGGGCCTCAGCCTGTTCCTCTGTGACACAAAGTCTTCTGGGGCTCAGTCCCCAAACCCCTCCCACAAGGCTTCATCTTTTCTGGTCAGATTCGGAGGCCAGAAGCCTGGGATGGGAATTCACTGAGATTTGCACCATTCTAGATTCCTTAGGAGGCCCTCAAGATATGAGTTAGTGAAAGAAGAAGTGTATGCTAGAATGAATGGGCTTACAAGGGCACACTGATAAAAACTTCAGCTTTGGGGGGAGGGAGTGTCTTCAGGGCTAGGCCATATTTGCTACAATGTTTCCCCTCCTCCAGGACTTCACCACTTTCTCTGTGAACACCTATGGGGCCCTAACAGAACATCTTGGTGCCTTGGCTGGACTTCCAGTCTGGCTCACCTGACCCAGGTGCAGGCAGTGGGTTCTGTAGGGGTAGAGGTGTCCCATTTAGATAGTCCCTGAGCTGGCTGCTGCCCCCACTCACAGGACACATCATGCTGACTGGGGTGACAGATGGTATCTTCTGCTGCCTGCTGGGCGCACCCCCCAACTCCGTAGCACCGCTGGAGAGTGTGGAGTCCAGCGATGGCTACACCTTTGTGGAGGTCAAACCCGGTCGTGTGCTGCGGGTGAAGCACGCTGGACCCTCCCCAACCCCCACCCCACCTCCACCATCACCACAAGATGCTGCCCAGGGGGACAGATCTGGCTTGGTCCACTGCCAGCGCCGGATTACTGTCTACCGCAACGGGCGGTTACTGGTGGAAAACCTAGGCCGGGCACCTCGAGCTGACCTTCTGCATGGGCAGAACGGCTCTGGAGAGCCACCGGCTGCCCTGGAGGTGGAGCTGACTGACCCAGCAGGCAGTGATGGCCGCTCAGGCATGGGCAGTGCCAACAGTGGCAATGGTAGTAGTGGGCGGCGGCGGCGAGCCAGACGCCCCAAGAGGACCATCCACATTGACTGTGAGAAGCGCATCACTAGCTGCAAAGGCACCCAGGCCGATGTGGTGCTCTTTTTCATCCACGGTGTTGGCGGCTCCCTGGCCATCTGGAAGGAGCAGCTGGACTTCTTTGTACGCCTAGGCTATGAGGTGGTGGCACCTGACCTGGCAGGCCATGGGGCCAGTTCTGCACCGCAGGTGGCTGCAGCCTACACCTTCTATGCACTGGCTGAGGACATGCGGGCCATCTTCAAGCGCTACGCCAAAAAGCGAAATGTGCTCATTGGGCATTCCTATGGGTAAGTTAATCCTGGCATAGTGAGGGAGGATGAGGGGCCAGAAAAGTCTCATTAACATACAGAGCCAGACAAGGATTCTTGTCATCATTGCTGTTCGAGACAGAGGCTCACTCTGTTGCCCCCAGCTACAGTACCCTGGTATCATAGATCACAGCAACCTCAAACTCTAGGGCTCCAGTGATCCACCTGCCTCAGCCTCCTATGTAGCTTGGACTACAGGCGCCTGCCACAATACCTGGCTAGTTTCTCTATTTTTAGTAGAGATGGGGTCTCGTTCTTGGTCAGACTGGTCTCAAACTCCTGAGCTCCAGCAAAAATCCACCTGTCTTGGCCTCCCAGAGTGCTAGGATTAAAAGCATGAACCACTGCAGCTGGCCAGCACTACTGGCATTTGGGGCCAGCTAATTTTTTTCTGTGAGGGACGGTAGAGTATTTAACAGTGTCCTTGGCCACTGTGTACTAAATGCCACTAGCACAATCATTTAGTGTTGATCAGGATCATCAAAAACATCTCCAGACATTTCCAAATGTCCCTTGGTGGGCAGAATTACCCCTTACTGAGAACCACTGCCTTAGACTAAATTCAAAAATTGGCTGCCCTAGAGATCCCTGTGCAGTCTAGAAGGACTATTTGTATTCCCATTAATTCTACATATTTACCAAAGCATTGATTGCTGTAATTCACTTGCCTTTAAAGAGCTGGTAATACCATCTAAAACATCCTCTGTGGAAGGCTTTGGGCCTTGGGGACAAGCCCCCACTGCCAATTGGCCCCATTTGCACCTTTACTCAAGAAGAAAGGCAAGATTAGATCAGCCAGACAAGTTAAGAACCACTGTTTTAGAGATTGTAGCTCATGCACTTAAGGCAAGAAAAGGAATTAAATTACTTAAGTATCTGAAAGAAAGAAATCCAAGATGAGAGGTAACATAGCTCTTATTTATATGGTAACACCACCAAAAGTTGATGCTTATGATAAATGATTCCTTTAATTCCATGAACACCCATCTACATAGTTGCTGTGACCCCATAACAATGACATGAGGTCAACATATTTACCTCTTCAGAGATTTGAAAACAATCTGAACCTTAGAGAGGTTAAGCAACCTGCCCAAGGGCATATAGTCATTGGCACAGAGAGGTTTGAGTCCTGGATTCTGTCCCTTTTTACAGCAGAAGTTTGCAAACTTTATTTTTTTTAGATAGAGTCTCACTCTGTTACCCTGGGGTTGAGTGCTGTGCCAGCATCATAGTTCACAGCAACCTCAAACTCTTAGGCTCAAGTTGTCCTCATGCCTTGGCTTCCTGAATAGCTGAGACTACAGACACCCACCACAATGCCTGGCTAATTTTTTTTATTTTTAGTAGAGACGGGTCTTGCTCTTGACAGCTCCCCAGAGTGCTAGGATTACAGGCTTGAGCCACTACAGCTACCCAGCCTGCAAACTTTTTCTTTCTTTTTTTTTTTTTTGAGACAGAGCCTCAAGCTATAGGCCCTGGGTGGAGTGACGTGGCATCACAGCTCACAGCAAACTCCAACTCCTGGGCTTAAGTGGTTCTCTTGTCTCAGCCTTCCAAGTAGCTGGGAACACAGGCGCCTGCCACAATGCCCGGCTATTTTTTGGTTGTAGTTGTCATTGTTGTTTGGCAAACCTGGGCTGGATTCGAACCCAACAGCTCTGGTGTATATGGCTGGCGCCTTAGCCACTTGAGCCACAGGCACCGAGCCATGCAAACTTTTTCTTAAGGGGTCAGATAGTGAATATTTTAGGTTTGCAGTCCATCCAATCTCTGTTGAAACTTCACAATTCTGCTGTTGTAGTGCAAAAGCAGCCAGACATAGCTGTGTATTTACAAAACATTTTTCAAATCTCCAAATTTCTAAACTTTATTTATGAAACAAGCACTAGTTCACAGACCATCATTTGCCATGATGGAATGAAGAGCTTGACTCTGGGGGCTCTTCAGGCTATATACTTTTCCACCTTGCATAAGGCAAGCAGATATGTCATACCTAAAAGGAGGTGGGAAAAGATCCTAAAAGGGATGGGATACACAATACACAGAAGTAGTGACCTACTCTGGCAGTCAGAGGGTTTGTTTGATCAGATTGCTTTTTTTTTTTGAGAGTCTCACTATATTACCCTTGGTAGAGTGCTATGGCGTCACTGCTCACAGCAACCTCAAACTCATGGGCTTATTAACCAGCTGGATGAAAGTATTTCAAATTGTATACAGAAACAGTACACTGTACCCCATGATAGTATTAATATCTATGCTGCTATGATTTAATAAAAAAATAAAATAAAATAAAATAAAAGCAGCCATGGATAGTATGTAAATGAATGAGCATAGCTGTGTTCCAATAAAACTTTATTGCAAAAATTAAAAAAAAAGGCTCAGCGCCTGTGGCTCAAGCGGCTAAGGCGCCAGCCACATACACCTAAGGTGGCGGGTTCGAATCCCCAGCCCGGGCCCGCCAAACAACAATGACGGCTGCAACCAAAAAAAATGGCCGGGCGTTGTGGCGGGCGCCTGTATTCCCAGCTACTTGGGAGGCGGAGGCAGGAGACTCGCTTGAGCCCAGGAGTTGGAGGTTGCTGTGAGCGTGATGCCATGGCACTCTACCCAGGGGGACAGCTTGAGGCTCCGTCTCAAAAAAAAAAAAAAAAAATTAAAAAAAAACTCATGGGCTTAAGTGATTTTCTTGCCTCAGTCTCCCAAGGAGCTGGGACTACAGGCACCCACCACAACGCCCATCTTTTTTTTTTTTTTTTTTGGCTGGGGCTGGGTTTGAACCTGCCACCTCTGGCATATGGGGCTGGTGCCCTACTCTTTTGAGCCATAGGCACCGCCCACGCCCATCTATTTTTTTGTTGTAGTTGTCATTGTTGTTTAGCCGGCCTGGCCGGGTTCCAACCTACTAGCCCAGTGTATGTGGCCAGCACCCTAACCACTGATTTACAAGCGCCGAGCCTCAGATTGCTTTCCTAACACTTGGTGGTAAGTAATTTTTACCCTTTTGGGGGTCATGGTGACTTTAAGAATCTGATGAAAGTGGCTCAGCACCTGTGGCTCAAATGGCTAAGGCGCCAGCCACATACACCTAAGCTGGTGGGTTTGAATCCAGCCCAGACCCACCAAAACAACAATGATGTCTGCAACCAAAAAATAGCCGGGCACTGTGGCAGGCGCCTGCAGTCCCAGCTACTTGGGAGACGGAGGCAGGAGAATCACTTGAGCCCAGGAGTTGGAGGTTGCTGTGAGCTGTGATGCCACCACACTCTACCCAGGGTGAGAGCTTGAGGCCCTGGTTCAAAAAAAAAAAAGAATCTGAGAATCTGATGAAAGTTTTGAATCCAGATCCTCTCTTCAAAGCAAATTTCACCCTCAACACTCAGTCTCATGATTCTGGGCCATTTGAGATACCCACCCATCTCTCACTCCATCAGGTGCCCATGTACCCCAGGGGAAGAACCTTTTGTTGTTGTTGTTAATACTGATGCAAAAGTACAGGGGAGGAATCTTGATCTTTAGGAACTTGCCTCTGTGGTGAGGGAAGAACATTAATTCCCTCACTGCCTATATTATGCTGACTGCCACCCTTCAATCTGCCCCACCACCCACCCATTCTGGGCAGTGTCTCCTTCTGCACATTCCTGGCACATGAGTACCCAGACCTGGTGCACAAGGTGATCATGATCAATGGCGGGGGCCCTACAGCGCTGGAGCCAAGCTTCTGCTCCATCTTCAATATGCCCACCTGTGTCCTTCACTGCTTATCACCCTGCCTGGCCTGGAGCTTCCTCAAGTGAGTGCCCCTGAATTGGGTGGGAGGGGATACTGTGCTGCTGGGGCCGGGACTGGCATTGGGGGTACCCCTGGTGGCCGGGTTGGCTTGAGGGGCTCCAGCAGTACCTCCTAACCACCAGGGCTGGCTTTGCCCGCCAAGGGGCCAAGGAGAAGCAGCTGCTTAAGGAGGGCAATGCCTTCAACGTGTCATCTTTCGTGCTACGGGCTATGATGAGTGGCCAGTACTGGCCCGAAGGCGATGAAGTCTACCATGCGGAGCTCACCGTGCCCGTCCTACTTGTCCATGGCATGCATGACAAGTTTGTGCCAGTGGAGGAAGACCAGCGCATGGCTGAGGTAGGAGTGGGCATCTGGGAGCTGCCATACCCCCACATTCCCTTCCTGGAGCCCAGGACATTGGCCTCTAAGATGGGCATGATCTCTAGATATGGGCAAATGGGGGCATTAGATCTAGAATCAATGGTAGAATCCAGATAGCAGATCTGTCCTGAACAGGTGTTAACAAGTATGCACCATCCTCAACACAGGTAGAAGGCCCTCTTCACAGCTGGAAATGTGTGTAAGAAACCAATGACTGGCCAGGCACAGTGGTTCACACCTGTAATCCTCTGGACGGCTGAGGCGGGAGGATCACTTGAGTGTTCAAGACCAGCCTGAGCAAAACAAGACCCTGTCTCTTAAAAAAAAAAAAATAGGAAAATTAGCTGGGTATGGTGGTGTGCATCTATAGTCCCAGCTACCTGGGAGGCTGAGCAGGAGAATTGCTCGGATCCAGGAGTTTAAGGTTGCTGTGAGTTAGGCTGACACCACTGCAGACTAACCTGGGCAGTAGGTTAACTCTGTCTCAAAATGAACAAACAGGCTCAGCACTTGTGGCTCAAGTGGCTAAGGCACCAGCCACATACATCTAAGGTGGCAGGTTCGAATCCAGCCTGGGCCCGCCAAACAACAATGACAGCTGCAACCAAAAAATAGCGGGGCGCTGTGGCAGGTGCCTGTAGTCCCAGCTACTTGGGAGGCGGGGGCAGGAGACTCGCTTGAGCCCAGGAGTTGGAGGTTGCTGTGAGCTGTGATGCCATGGCATTCTACCCAGGGGGACATCTTGAGGCTCTGTCCCCCCCCCCAAAAAAAATCAAAATGGACAAACAGTGCTTACTGCAGCAGCACATATACTAAAATTGGAATGATACAGAAAAGATTAGCATGGCTCCTGCACACGGATGACATGCAAATTCATGAAGCTTTCCATATTTATGGAAACCCAAGTGCCCATCAACCCATGAATGGATTAATAAATTGTGATATAGATATATGTATAGTATGGAATACTGTTAAGCCATTAAAAAGATGGAGAGTTTACGTCTTTTGAATTTACCTGGATAGAGTTGGAGAACACTCTTTTGTAAACTATCAAAAGAGTGGAAAAGCAAGTATCCAATGTATTCAATACTAATATGAAGCCAGTAGACAAACTAATACATGCCCACATGAGAGAAAAACTCAGTTTAATTCAAGTTGGGGGGAGGAAGAATGGGTATCGGTGTGCTACTACTTAATAGGCACAACATAAGGGTATATGGCACACCTGGGTGCAGGACACAACTACAACAGGGACCTTACCTAATAAACATAAAGATTGTAACCTAATTGATTGTATCCTCATACTAATCTGAAATTTAAAAAAAAGAAAAAAACAAACAAAAAATGACCTATATGATTCTAGAAGGAGGATAATAGAGAATTTTTGTTTTTGTTTTGAGACAAGAGCCTCAAGCTGTCACCCTGGGTAGAGTGCAATGGCATCACAGCTCATAGCAACCTCCAACTCCTGAGCTCAAGCAATTCTTTTGCCTCAGCCTCCAAAGTAGCTGGGACTACAGGTGCCTGCCACAACGCCTGGCTGTTTTTTGGTTGTAGTTGTCATTGTTTGGCAGGCCCGGGGTGGATTCAAACCCGCCAGCTCAGGTGTGTGTGGCTGGCGCCTTAGCTGCTTGAGCTACAGGTGCTGAGCCAAGATAATAGAGGATCTTTAGATTAAAAACTCCCCAGAAAATGTCATGGGATCCTTAGTACTTAGAATAGCTCTGAACTGGTAGTTCTTTTTTTTTTTGAGACAGAGTCTTACTTTGTCACCCTTGGTAGAGTGCTGTGGCATCACAGCTAACAGCAAACTCAAACTCTTAGGCTAAAGTAATTTTCTTGCCTCAGAGGCGTCTGTCATAACAGCCAAGCTATTTTTAGAGATGAGGTCTTGCCCTGGCTCAGGCTGGTCTTGAACTCCTCAGCTCAGATGATCCATCTACTTTGGCCTCCCTCCCAGAGGGCTAAGATTACAGGCATGCTCCATTGTGCCTGGCCTTTGAACGGTGGTTCTTAACCAAGGATAATTCTCCCCTCAGGGGACATTGGAAATGTCTGGAGTTATTTTAGGTTGTCACAATTGAGGATGGTATAGAGATCTATGGGTATCTGCTGGGTGGAAGCCAGAGATGCTGCTGAACATTCTGCAGTGCACAGGACAGCCCCCTAGGCAAAGAATGATCAGACCCCAAATGTCATTAGGGCCAAGGTTGAGAAATCTTGCTTTGGCATGCAAGGCTTTGTTTGTCTATCTTTCTACTTACCTATCCGGTTGATTCTCACCCAGGAGTGATTCTGCCCCCAGGGACATTTGGTAATATCTGAAGACTTTTTTGGGGGGTCTCATTATGTCACCCTTGGTAGAGTATTATGGCTTCACAGCTCACAGCAACCTCAAACTTTTGGGCTTAAGCAATTCTCTTGCCTTAGCCTCCCAAATAGCTGGGATTACAGGCGCCCACCACAATGCCCGGCTATTTTTTGTTGCAGTTTGTCATTGTTGTTTAGCAGCCCAGTTGTATGTGGCCAGTGCCCTAACCACTGAGCTACAGACACCCAGCTGAAGACGTTTTAAGTTGTCATATTATGGGTACATGAGGGTTACTGCCACTGGGCATCAAGAGGACCAGGCAGGACCTAACAGTGCACAGGACAGTCCCCAAACCCAAAGAATGATCTAGTCCCAAATATCATTGTGCTAACATTTGGAAATCCAGTAGGCAGTTAATAAATAATGAATACCTAGATGGGGTCCACCGGGATGATAGGCCATCCTCCAGTTTTCCCTTGTAAAGAATTAGGAGGATGAAGGGTAGACCAGAGGAGGAACCCATGCTGCCCGCCATGCGCGAATGGTGGGGGAAACTCAGCCTGACCCATCCTGAGTCTCAAGTCTCCTGCAGATCTTGCTTCTGGCCTTCCTGAAGCTCATCGACGAAGGCAGCCACATGGTGATGCTGGAATGCCCTGAGACCGTCAACACACTGCTCCACGAGTTCCTGCTCTGGGAGCCGGAGGCCTCGTCCAAGGCTCTGCCCTCGCCCCTACCTGCGCCTCCAGAGGAAAAGAAGTAACTGGCAAGCCAGCAAGGCATTGCTTGGTGAGCAGAGCTGCAGGAAGATGAAGCCAGGAGCGGGCGCCAGGTCCGCAGCGCGGACCATGTGGGTCGGCCTTTTGCTCTCGTGGGCGGGATCAGGCCAGGAAGACGCCCCCAGGCCGGTTGGGCGTGGTGTAACGTCTGAGCGAGCCTAGTTGGACGCTCAGCTCTCCGCTTCTGTCCTGCGAGGCCCATCGGTGTTTTGGGGCCAAAGCCAGGATGCCCGCGGAAGATGACCTTGTACAGAAGTCCCTCTTTCTTCCCCCTCCAGCCAAAGACACGGCCGAGACAGGCCCTCCCCACCCTGCTGTCTTCCGTGTTAGCCATGCTTTATCCTGGGACTCCCGAGCCCCCTAGGGACCCTCAGGGTCCGTCCCAGTGCCCAAGACCCTCCCTGTCCCCTCATTCCTCAGCTCTGGGAGCTATTGTTGCCCACCAGGGTAGGGAAGGGGGCTGGCGCCACTGAATCTGCGCATTTGAACTTGTAACTGAATAAAAAGTGACAATCGGAGTCCGGACCTGTGCTTGGTGACCGCAGAGCAGGGCCTTCACTGCCCTGAGCGGTTAATACTGGTGTCTACCCCTCAGAGCTGACCTTAAGAACGTCTGGGGTCCAGGCTTGCTTTCTGATTCCCTCATCCCTCCTCCCAGAATGCAGGAGCTATACAGGCAGTATTCCCAGGCCAGGAAGGAGGCAGCTTAACAAGAAGCTCTTCTCTGGTGAGGAGGAGTGCAGCTGAGGTTGAGGTGAAAGTCAATGGACACTTTGCATGAGATTATAACTGCCATTATTGATTGTGAACTGTGTTGAATGCCCGATGCCCATCTGTTCATTGAATCCCACTCATCCAACCCCACCCAGCAAGTTCATGCCTCTTATTATCCTAATTTATTTATTTAGTAGAGACTATATCTTATTATGCTGCCTAGACTGGTCTTGAACTCTCAACCATCCTCCTACCTTGGCATCCCAAATTGCTGGGATTACAGGTATGGGTCACTGTGCCTGGCCCATTAGGGTCATCTTTGTCATAAAGATGGTTTTTCTTTTGAAACCACAAAATGTCTTTCCTTTTTATGTGTGACTGAAAGACTTTTCTGCCCCAAGGCTGTGCATTTGCTCTTCTTTTATTCCTTTTTTAAAAATGAACCTGGGCTCAGCGCCTATAGCTCAACCGGCTAAGGCGCCAGCCACGTACACCTAAGGTGGC